CTCTAACAACTTAGCAATTGCTTTGGAGTTTGGATGCTATGTGAGCATATTGAATGTCACTTTAAATATGCGTGGTTGCAAATGAATGATATTGTAATAGTTTCGACAAAAACGAGGTTTTGGTAGGGAATAGGATGCTATGTGAGCATATTGAATGTCACTTTAAATATGCGTGGTTGCAAATGAATGATATTGAAATAGTTTCGACAAAAACGAGGTTTTGGTAAGGAATAGGTCCAAGACTGGGTAATCAAGGGACGCAACAACATGACATCTTGAATTTTATTATAGAATTTATTTTTCACTAAATTATTCAAAAAAAATTGGGGTTTTGTCAGGATTATTGTTTTACAAAATTTAGTGAGGCTACATATGTGTAAACTTTGTTGTAACTTGTAAATCTATTGTTACCTGTAGATGTAGAATCTAAAGCTCCAAAAATGCTTAAGAACTAGTTGATCTGTAATGACTTGAAATGAACGATCCAACAAATTTGCTACAAGTTTGGACTGCCTTTTTTAATTTTTTTAATGTTTTTTATAAAAATTTAGGTCAAAGAATGTGGAGGTAGAGATCAATAATTTGCAAGTTTTCAACATCAGAACTGCATTTTTCGATAATAGCTAAGGTACAGCTATATAAAACAACAAATTTAGTAAATATTGTTCTTTTGATAAAGGCGTCCCTTTCAATTGAGTGTTATTGATAAATAAGTCCATCATGTGAAACAAGATTTTTAATTTTACTCCCTAAAATAATTGATATAAGATCCAAATGCCTGATTTGTATGTGTTGTAATAAAAATGTTAAGGTGTTCTCTCTGTCCTTTTCCATACTCTTGAAGCAACATACTGTACATTTACTCCCTTGGGCAGAAAAATAATTTAGGGAAGATTGTTTTGATCATAATTTTGGAAACTACCTAAAAATCACCAGAAATGATCATATTTAAATGATAATTTGAATGCAAATATTTTTCCTAGTCAATAAATAATGCAATAAGTGTAGCATATGGGTTGAAGAGGTTACATCCCTAAAATTTGAAATCCTAAAAATCCTCCTATATTATGTTTTGCCATTGGGAGTAAATGGTCAGTATGATCCATCGGGAGCATGATTTGGCTAAATTATAATGGGGAGAGAGAGATTTCAAATGCTAGAGAGAGGGGGAGGAGATATTTTTGCGGAAATTTCCAAGGCAAAGATTCCTTGGATAATTATTATAGTAAGAATCTTAACATTATTACATGTAGAAAATATCGATGCATCTTATCAACAAGGCGGGCAAATTCAAAGGCCAAGATTCCTCCCTCAGCTATTCTTGGAGTAATCCTAAATTTTTGAAGTTGAAAGAAATGACTATCGTACCCCTGAGTGGGTATAAATCATCTCTATGGGAAGAAGAAAAGTTATGTATAAATTAATGACATAACCGATGTATCCTTAAAAAGCAAAAATAAATAAATAAAAACAAATAAAAGCCAATAGTCATTTACCCTTATCGCTTACTTCTAGTTAGGGCAGCAAGTCGGGTTGGGCCGGATCCAATATTGGGCCACTTTTTCTGTCCTATGAGCATGCAAGCCAAAGCCAGTAGCTTATTACTGGTCTGGTTTTAAAACCCCTTGGGCCCAAGTTATGTTTGGCATGAGGCTTTAATGTAGCCTCTTGGAAGCCCACAGGTATAAGGTCCTCAATATGTAAGTTTGTTGATTTTAATTTATAAAGTGGAAGCTGATTTTGATTTGATAGTTGAGAGTAAAAAAACTATGACATATAATTGTATTAAATTCTATAGAATTCAATATTTCATATATTTTTCACTATACTATTTATGTGTAATTGGTTAATCAGGTCATTTACTTTCATATCTAACCCCTTGTTTTTTTAGAAAAGCTTTTACTTTCAATTTTGTTATAAGTTTATTCCCAACTTTCTCATTAAAATTAGAGCCATAAATATCTAAATATGTAACCATATTTTAAACATTACGCGCTATTAATTTAAATTTTATATATGGCTTTTGATAGCCAGCCTATATAATTAAGAAAAACTCTGATGATGTTGATAATAAAGTCACACAACCATGAATTGAAATAGGTGTGGAAGGAGAAGTACAACCTACTAAAATTAAAAGCCGCTAACACTTAACAAAAGAGCCGGGGTTTAATTAATTAGCGCTTAACGATTTGCAAAGCTACTTTTCAGGCTCAATTCACAAAAAACAAAAATAAAATAAAATTGCTAGCATTGCATCAATTAAAAGTATTTTAATAATTTTGCTACAATGTTGGGTCCCACTAAAACGAAGTGTACAACCAGTTCACGATTCAGTTGGTATATGCGTTAGCAATGGCGTCATGATTGATATAACCAACCATAATCAACTGTGCGTATTTGAGCCTTCTAAACTACTCCAATGACCTCCATGCCCATATTTGTTATAAATATATTTTCACAATATCAAAAAGTTCAAAAAAATGCTAAATAAGAGAGTGTAAATAAGACATTTTAACCTTAGTTTTAAAAGGGATACAATTATAGTGTCCCAGGGTTTATTTTCTTGATTTGCAGGAGTAAGATTGTGTTGTATCAAATATTTTAGTTAGACAATATAGATTTGATATAATTTTTTTGGATAATACAAAAAATTTGGGTGCAAATTATATAAGGCACAAAATAGTTGAAACAAAGTATATAATCAATTTAACATTGTGTTAAAACAAAATAGTTCATATATAGAAATATACAATTATGTTTCCAAAAAACCCAGTGATGGCTTTAAATATTATCTATAGTCAATTTAACATTCAAAATTGGTGCAGATCAAGCCTATCTATAAATACTAGAAAATCGTGAGAATGGATGGTCCAGATAATATTTTATAGTATGCATTATTTTTGAGACATCCTTTTTTTTTCCATATCTATATATCATGATATCGATAAGGTTTTTCAACATTTACAATACTATTTTTCTGTGGATTTTTATGTGTCTTTTACTTTTATAGTATAAAGTTGACACCTTGTATCTTTTTTGCTCCTAAATTTTTTTGATGTTCTAAAAAATGTGTCAAGTTTCTAACAAAAATGAATAATCTACATGTATATGGTTCCAATCTTTTATAGACTTTTTACATGTATATGGTTCCAATCTTTTATAGACTTTTTCCATTGCTCTTAGCCATGAGACGTGAAATTGAGCAGTGGGGGTGTTCAGCAATCCTGTTCAAAGATTGTAAAAAACAAAAAAACAAAAAACAAATATGAGGTGCAAAACCCAATCATCTAATTTTACATCTAGGGCCTTAGACGTTTGCGGTTGTTGTATATGAAAGATAATAGTCTCAATGTACACAATCTCTTAAGCAAAAGGTTTGAAAATGTCTTAAGTAAGTCGTGGGTAATCCTTCAAGATTTAGGCCCCGTTTCAAGAATTTAGATCTACATTTTCTAGGAGTTTCAGTTAGTCTTATCCAATTATTGTTTTGGAGTTTTTATTCATTCATTGATATAAAATTTCGTCCTAGATTCATAAAATTTAGTGTTTGAGAATGGAAAAAAAATTCATCCAAGTTATTTCATCAAGTTTTTTTAATGCTATAAATTTCATCAAGTTTAATTAAAACATTTCCAATTATATTTTAAATGAAAACTTGCTCAAATACTTTTACAATTTTAAATATTGTAATAATTTGCAATGATAGATGTTTGCTCTTGGTGTTTCTTAAACTTCTCTTGATTTGGGTCATGGTCATGCCTAAGAAGAGCTACTAAGCGAACAAGTAGACATGGCTAAACTTTAACTTGTACAACTTTTTTTATTTAGACAATTAAAGTTCCAAAACTAATAAAATGAACAATTTTGATATTTTCTAATAAACAATTGGAAAGGTACCAAGGTGAAAAAAAAAACCCGCAAGGTAACCACTTTATTCCCAAGTTCAATGATTTTTTGAGGTGATTTGATTATTTTAATGAGGTTTACTTTTAATAAAAGAGCAAGGAGAAGCAAATGGTGTAGAGTAAAAAGGGATTGTATACTATGAGGCCATTTATAATTGTTATAAGGATGTCACAATTACTCATTGCTATTAGATGTTGAGTTAGAAGGCTTTGTGGTGTGTCACGAAGTTAGATAAATAATTTGTAAACATTAAGTCTTGTCAAGGACACACTTATAATTACCCATTTTGAAATTTGACGGACAATAGTGATTGCAACTTTATTGTATTAAAAATAAAGTAGTCTTTATATATATATATATAATAGTAAAAAAAGATAAAAAAAAGAAAAAAGAAGAAGAAAGAAATACTCATGTGGAGATCCAATCTAGCAATACTAGAAAGAAAGAGTTCATGTTATGGGACTTAATACTATGAAACAATTTACTATTAGTACAATAAAATCACAATTATTTATAATCATAAGATGTGAACTACGGTATATTTAAGCGTGTCACAATATTGAAGAAATTTTATTTAAAATATTTGACCAAACTAAAGGTTATGACTTTTAATAGAATATAATGACAATTCATATAGCCAACCTCAATTAATTGAAAAAAGACTTTGACGATGATACCTATACTCTTAATCAGTGACACACCTAAGACATCCCAAAATCATCTCAAACCATCAATGATGTTGTGATATTTTTTATATCAAATCCAAATGACCATGCAACATATATATTTTTATTTTATTGGGTGCTCAACAAGATGTTGAAATGATATTTTGGAAATTTGAGTTTAACACATGAGAAGGGCATTAATGCTTGTTGAAATGATATTTTGGAAATTTGAGTTAAACACATGAGAAGGGCATTTTGCCAAGTAATAATATCCTCCAAAAAGTTTAAAACCTCAGACCCCACAACCAAAAGGCACACAAATGATATTATAATTTTCTCATGGACAAGAAAAACCCTCCTCTCTCCTTCTCTCTACTCCATAACTCTCTCTCTCTCTCTCTCCTACCCCATTTAACTATAAATTCAACCCCAACATATTATCTGCCCTAGATCCAAGCCCTCCACTGCAATTTTGGGGCAAGGTATCAAGAGCAGCCATGGCTCAACACTTGGCCCTCTCTCTCTTGCTCATAGCATCCTTACTCTTTCGCACACATGCCAGGCCACACATGGGAGAAAACCCAATGATCCATATGATCACCGAGGAGCTCCACGAGTTGGATTACAGCCTTCTTAAAGTGGTTGGCCACACGCGTCATGCTCTTGATTTCGCACGCTTTGCTCACAGGTTTGAGAATGCACTAGCAATCTATATTTTTTGTTATTTGTTTGTCTTTTGGACTTCAGTTTTTTTTTTTTTTTAAGTGATATATTCAAATGGAAGAACAAAATCTTGTTTCTATATTGGTTAATTTTTTGCTGATTTTGATTTTCTGATTGGTTGGGTTTTATGTTACACTTTTTTTTTTTTGAAACTGTTTATGTTGCACTTATTTTGTTTTTTGCTTTTATTTTTCATTTGTGTTTTAGACTTTGTTTTTTGTTTGTTCTTTTTTTTTTTTTCGTTTGTTTACTTTTGCAGAAAATGGTTGGTTTTTTTTTTTTTTTTGAATAAGAGCAGAAAATGGTTGTTTTATTATTTATCTGTGTTATAGACTCTGAGTTTTAAAAGTTTTTGCATGATTTTGGGTTTGCATGAGGTTGTTCCCCTGTTTTTACTATGTTTTGGGGGGTTTTAACTTTTATTTTTGGGTATGAAATCGAGTGAAGGAAAAGGGTAAAAATTTATCGAATAATATTAGGTTTCCAGTTATTTATTTGTTTATTTATTTGGGGTATTTGAGCCTATACTTTGATTTAAAACCTGGTAAAAGGTTTTAATTTGGCTACTTTAAGAGGAAATTTTATCTGAAAAATACGAAAACTCCATTGATTTGAGCACCGATCATAAAAAAAATTTGTTTTAAAACTTGGAAAAGGATGCGTTGACTTTATCTTTTTTATCTGGTTTCTATTTTTTCTGAAATTTTTGGAAAAAGAGAAATTTGATTTCGAGTCATTTATTTTCTCCTTTAAAGTGTCTTTTTTTCATTAAGAAATTTAGAGTTTTCAGTAAAAAAATGGGGAGATTGATTTTGATTTTATTCACTTTCCTTGTTCAGGTATGGAAAGAAATACAATTCGGCAAACGAAATCAGACGAAGATTTCATATTTTTGCGGAAAACTTGGAGATGATAAAGGAAACCAACAGTAACGGGCTTACTTATACGCTGGGTATTAATGGTAAGAGCGTATTTATTAATGAATAAGATGGATTTTGGCAAATAAATCTGAATTTTGATGCACATATTTGTTGCTTTTCATATATTTTTGTCCCACACAAAAACAAGAGAAAAAGATTAAGTTTCAACTGGCAAATATTGATTGTGAAATTCGTCTCTCTCTACTTAATGGGAAAAAGAAGAAGAATGGGTTACACTGTGTATGAGAGAGACTGAGGGAATTGTGTTCAACATGTTCTCAAATTTGGATTTCTGTGAATTACAAATCTCTCTCTCACACACACAGTGAGAATTGAATTTCTGTGAATTACAAGTCTCTCTCTCAAACACACGTACACACTCACTCACTCACACACACAGTGAGAATTGGATTTCTGTGAATTAAATGTCTCTCTCTCTCACACACACAGAGTGAGAATTGGATTTATGTGAATTACAAGTCTCTCTCTCACAGTGTGAATTGGGTTTCACGTTTCAACCATGTTCTCAAGCTTAGGAACTCTAGAAATTACCTTAGTTTCCACTGGAAAATTTTGATTATATCTGGTGAAAAGATATATCTTATTGATGGATTTGAGATGTATGATGAGAGAGAAAAATGAAAATTAAGGAAAAACCTTGGAATTTGTGGAAAATGGGTATCCCAAGTTTCAAAAACATTGTATTTGTGTTCTCTGCGTCTATCTCAAGGAAAGAAAGGAAGGAAATGAGTAATTATTTGCATTTCTATAACGAAAAGTATAGCGTCCGTACTATGTGGATGCTTGATAGGTGTATAAGTATCGTTTCCAATTGTTCATATTGAAATCTAGGGCCGATATAAGGGATGTAAATTGAATTTGTTTTTATTTTGATTTTCCTACAATTTTTAATTCATAAGAAAATTGGGGTGTACATGCATTTTTATGGTACACTTTATAAAATAAAAAATTTCAAATAAAAACCAAAATACCGAAACATTAAGTGGTATTTTGTATTTTTACTTGAATTATTAATTTATTATTCTTTATTGGGTGATGTATGAACAAGCCAATTTTCATGCGAATGAACAAACCAAAAAAGATAAAAAACGAATTAATATTGTGGCCCTTATATTGGTCCAGATACAATCTGAACAATTGGGAGGGTCCTTGTGCATATTTCAAGCGTCCATGGACACTGTGTCATCTTTTTATATGAAGACATTTTTACTTTAAAGTTCAATTACTGCTTCTTTTCCAAGTGAATGTATATTGAAGGAAGTTGAAATTTTTAGAACACTAGATTCTTGCAATGTTGTCTTTTTTTGAATTTATGCAGAGATTGCTTGACATTTTTGTATTATCCAATTATAGTAATTCAGGGATGAATCTTCTGTTTTTATCATAGAGAACCTGCTTATCTTTAGCTTTTAATGAACCATAGTTATAAATTTTATCTGATTGTCAGAGTTTTTTTTTGTTGTTATTTAGGCATTTTAAGTATAAATTTTAGCTGGTTCTCAAAGTTTTAGTTTGCTTGTTAGTTATTTAGGTGCAATTTGGTGATTGATTTTAGAAGTTATTTGATGCCCAATTGTATTTTGGGACTCCGAATTGATCTTTTTTCCTTTTTTTGTTTTTTTCAAAATACTCTCTAAGTTGTTTTGCAGAAATTTTAATCTCTCTCTCTCTCTAGTTCTATGCATTTTTTTCAACTAATGGTATATTGTGGATGCATTTGCCTTCAAAGTTTAGTTTCTCTGTAAAGATGAATAATATGCTGCTTTTATTTTTTTTTATTTTGCCCCAATTTTTCTCTTCTGCTGATGAAATTGGCCTTGTTATTTTTTATTTTTTTATTTTTTTGTAGAATTCGCTGATTTAACCTGGCAAGAATTCCGAGGCCACCGTCTAGGAGCTGCGCAGAATTGCTCTGCCACAAAAGGAACACATAAACTCACCGATACTCCACTTCCTGATAGTGTATGTAACTGATCACTTTCCTTATTATTTCTTTGTTTTCTTCTATTTTTTCCTATTCAAAAAATCATTTCCTTTTTTCTTTACCATGGGAAGAAAATCATGTTAATTTAACATTATTCTCTATTGAATGCTTTTGTTGCAGATAGATTGGAGGAAGACTGGTATAGTGAGCCCAGTAAAGGACCAGGGGAGCTGTGGGTCTTGCTGGACATTTAGGTGAGAAAGAAAATATATATGTTAATTAATTGTTGTAGCTTGGGTAAATTTGAAAAGAAAGAAAAGGGGGAAAAAATTTACTGTGAACTAGAAAATTACCTCAATTCCTGGGATTTCACAGGAAATGGCGAAAAAAGATCATATATTTTACTATTCTATGAATGATCAGTTTAACCAAACTTGTTTTAGTACTAAAGGACCACTGTTCTTTTTCTAATCTTTCTTTATAAACAATTTCTTTTGGAACAAGGAAATTGGTTTTGTCTCCTAGTGGTAATGGGGGTTTCACTCCTGTCTTCCACCTATCCTTAAGAAAGTGAATTTCTCATTATGACCAGCACCATTTAACTCTACTTACATCTGCTCCTTCCTTTAGAGCGATGTTCAATTACTTGGCCTGGGCTTAGGACTTAGGCCTTGCCTGAGCCGAGTAACTCGTGTGAGTCCGAGTGGACTAGGACACGCCCAGGTCATGTGTGACCCAAAAAAAGTTTCAAAAAATGGCAAAAAGAAAATGTTAAAAATAATAGAACAAAAAAAAAGTTATAAACAACATCAAAAGTCTAGAAAAGATGGAAAAAATTATGTTGAAGATGGATTATGGAAGAAATTGATTTATAGCTTGAACCGATTTAGGGAATCCAAAATAGGGAAAAATAAAAAAATTGAGCACATATTAAAAACAATTCACAAATCATATGCATAAACTTATCCTCATGAACATTTTTCAGGAAAAAAAATGTAAAAATATATTTATAAATCACTTATTAGTGTCTTAGTAACAAAAAATTTTGGGAATGGGGGTGGGGCATAGGTGGTTAGGTGGGTAGATGCCTCAACATAACATCCTGTGCTCCATTCCCACTATTAACATATCAAAAAAAAATTGAAACCTTAAATTAATTTACTTCAAAGGTTTTTTAGGAATGGGCTTAGGGCTAGGTGGTCAAGGTGGTGGATCGCTACAACATGACGTCTGAGTTTCATCCCTACCATGGGCCGGGGACCCATCCCTATTGAACTACCCACAAAAAAAGAAAAAAAAGAACAAAGAATTTTTAAGAGCTTTTGATAAACCTGAGTTTATCAATAGATTTCGCCTCGATAGGGTTCCAAAGCTGAGTAAGTCGGGCGAGTTTGAGTTGACTCGACTGAGTTCTGGAATATTGCTTAGAGTGTAGCATTTTCTTTCGAGTATCAATGGGGAAAACTTAAAAGACATTTACCCCATTACTTGATTTCTTGTAGCACCACTGGAGCTCTCGAAGCTGCTTATACTCAAGCCACAAAGAAAGGGATCTCTCTCTCTGAGCAACAGTTGGTGGATTGTGCCATGGCCTTCAACAACTTTGGGTGCAATGGTGGCTTGCCTTCTCAAGCTTTTGAGTACATTAAATATAATGGAGGCCTTGAAACTGAGGAATCCTATCCTTACTTGGGTAAAGATGGGGTGTGCAAATTCAACAATGAAAATGTCGGGGCTAAGGTTGCCAACTCGGTTAATATTACGCTGGTAAGCTTTCTGATCATCGAATCCTTTTACTGTTAAATTTGCTAGTGTTCTCTTCATTTTTCATTTTATTTGTCTTGTTCTTAATTTGGTGTTGTTGCTGATATTGGCTATTGTTTGAATTGCCTTGTACTTTTTTTGTTTGCGTGTGGTCGCATTCACACGCACGCATGTGTGTGCTTGTGTGTGTGTGTGTGTGTGAGAGAGAGAGAGAGAGAGAGAGAGAGAGAGAGAGAGAGAGTAGTTAGTTTACGTACGTACTACTACCTCGAGTAAGTAGTACGCTCTACTACTACAACTCCTTCCTTAGTGTTCTTCCTTCCTACCTACTTACTAATTAATTTAATTACTT